ACTACGGCTCAGCCAATTTTCGAAAAATATTTGGATGAATCCGTTAAGTTATTCACTTTGACGACGACAATACGGATAATTGGTGAATAATACATTAAGAGTTCTTTCGTACCGAAAATGGATGAGCAAGTGTAAGAATATTTTTATAATGAAGCGTCAGAGACAGAATCCGATCTGACAAAAATTACTATTATCACAAGTAAAAATATAAACTTACGCAGGAATAAATCTTTATGAAACTTAGCAATAGTATGCGGCGCACTTGGCTGTACTGCGGGCATTACCCTACGCTTTTTAGGGAATGTCTAGCTTAAAGGTTAAGTAGCTCTCTCTTTTCTCTGGTGCAAGATTAACTTAGGTAAGTAAATCTCTGCGAATAGGTTTTTTATTTTAGTTACAAAAAATGTTTTTTCAAACACGACGACTGCCGAATTGATGTGCTATACATCCTGTCATTAGAGAATTTATGCAATTGTCGTTATTATGTTGATAGCAAAGCCCAAGTACAAACGTAACCGCCGTAGTCATATTTTAGAAAGAATTTAGTGAAAAAATTCCAAGAAATTGTAATCAAAAATTTCAATCTTTTCATTCTGTTGCCAGCTGTTATTATAATATAAATACATATATATACACATAGATATATATATTTTTTTAAAATTAATTTGTTTTGAGATTTCTGTGTTAAAGATGACTTATACAAGTTTGTAGGAATGTGACGTATGAACGTATGTGAGTAGACCGCTATGTCGCACACGTTGTGCAGATTACATGCATGCATCTGTTTGTTTGACTTTTAATGTAATTTTCGCACTATTTTGACATGAATTAAATTAAAATATAACAGCAACAACAACAACAACAATAGCAATGAAGTGAGCGAAAAAAAAAAAAGAACAAAACTTACATGCATTGAAAACGAATCTCTGGGCTGTGTAGTACACATTCAAGCGCACATACATTCACAATTTTAATCCGAACAATTTCAAGGAATTGTGCATATCAACCGCGTCGGCACGCTCCGTTTCGGCCCACAATTAATTTTCCCTATGAGTTTAATAATAACAATAATAACAGCAGCAGCAATGATTACAACGATGATGACTGAGATGATAATGATTCAATTTACTGAACAAAAAAAAAATTTTTTTTTTTTTTTATATGTGAACTGCATTTCGAACAAAAACAAAAAATGCTTCTACTATTTTTTCGTTCTTTTTTTCTTTTCTTAGTTTGTAATTTTTTCTTTTTATTGAATGGAGACGAAATAATGTTTTCCAAATCATGAGAAACGAAAGAAGAGAAGAAGAGAAAAAAAACTTGAAAATTGAAATAAATAAAAAATTTGTCTGAAGATCACAATCATTGTGCCGTTGAATTGTCCTATAAGGTGGTGTTTGGGGTGCTAATGCAATGCAGTCAACCGACAACTACAGCCTACTTTTTTTTAGTAGATCCTATGCAAAGTTAGCTATGGGTTTTGTATGACAAGTACTTGGAAGGTGTTTGGGTGAAAAGATATCTTTCTTGAGTTTTTTTTTCTTTTTTTTTTTTCATTTTATGTTCACTTAAATGATGATGTTATGTCTTCGTTGCCGTAACAGTTACAAGACAATTCACTTTTGTGCGAAATTAAGTAGCATTTGCAGTCACGCGTAAATCACGCTTCGCCAGAAACTCTGACACACTGAGTACAAAGAAAAAAAAGGATAAAAGAAAAGAGAAGCAAAAAAAAAAAAAAAATTCTGTTCAGTCCATGTGCATTCATTTACAATCTCTTTTCACTCTCTCTCTCTCTCTCTCTCTCTCTCTCTCTCTCTCTCTCTCGCCTTCTATATACGCTCATGGACGTATTGCATTTCCCCTTCGGTCTGTATATTGGAGGCTATAACTAATTACATTCGCAATTATTTCATGTTTTGGCCAATTTAATGGGACAAATTTATCTGTATGGTGTCATCTACTTAGAATTGATAGTTGTGCAGTCGCACACAAACATACATATGCACATAGACAAGCGCTACCATGTCTGTTATTGCAGATGTACATGGAACATGGAGCACCAACACCAGACACAACCCACACATCGTCACGTATACAGTGGAATATATTAAAAGAAGGAAATTCTCGTTGCCACGAAATCAAATGCAATTTAAAAATGCAAATGGAATTATTCTTTTAGACTTTACTGTACCAAATGCAAATTACAAACACTGCAGTTTGAAAGTCTCTAACAATTTGCAAAAGGTTTATATTCGTTCGTAGGTTTTAATGTTAACAAACGCATGTACTTTATAAATTGTACAGACATAATGACTGCAGTGAAAAAACTCGGTTAAAACTCACTTCGAATATACCAAAGAACTGTTAAGTCCTCTAACTATCTTATCCCATAATATCGAAATTTAGAAAACCTTTAACGTTTGCTAGAAAGTTCATCAAGCAACTTATTCGTCTTAGTAAACTTCCATGAAAAATTCATAGGGACTGACACTTTCCCAGTTGTAACTGCTTTTTGGATTGTCTGTCCGGTGGATGGGATTCAATGTCGTTTGGCTGAGATGAACCTATGAACAGTGTGAACTACCTAAATGTAGGGAGAGAGAAACAGAAAGATAGTGGGGTAGGGAGAGGGGAGAGGGAGACAAAGATACTTTATATTGAGATAAAATCTCAAGGTCATATCGCCTTCAACTACTTTCGATTAAGATCAGATTAGCAGCAATGACTTGAAAGAGACCCACCAGTTGTCTACACGCCAACCGGTTTGGAACCATTTTCAATAGCCCTTCATGAAGCGACTTAAGCATCTCTCTCCTTCGTGCTTGTCCTTCTGTCCTGATCGCCTAAGTCTCCATTCCATGTTGTGCATAAGCTAGCAATTTTCGGGGTATATTGATGAAATTAAATATTCTTTCGACATAATCATGAAGCAAATGGCAAATCCGTGTGAGTGGGGCCACTTTCATGCCCATTCTTTATGGAACCCATAATGTGGGCATAGGGTATTTAAAGATCGATCCCATCAATTGATAACTGTTTAAATCATTTTAACGATAATTTTCGACAGATAGTGTTACTAGTCAAGCTGCTGAGCTATTTCGGATATTGAAGTAAGCGAAACACTACTTGCACAGTACATCGAGAGATTATAGTCGCTAATTACAATGTCCGCCGATTTACAGATTTTTTTCGATGCCGCAGCAAGCAGGTTGCTAAATATATCGTATTCGCGCAAGCGGTGGGTTCACGACGAAAAGTACGATATATTTTTTGTGTATTATCAAAACCCAGTCAAACCCGGTTTTTTTCAACTCCTACTCCGGTTATTCAATTCGTAATTGCGAACTCTCTGCAATCGTTATATAGAAATGAAAGCACTATACTGTTGATCTCACTACAATGGTATTAAAGCGATTGTTAATGAATGAAACTATTTGTTATGGCATTGATGCGATGACGATTCTTATTTTCTGCTGCCTAATGACTGGTTGTTAATTCTTCCAGAGTTTTTGTGTTTGTTTTTCTGGCAATTTTCAGACTCTTCTCTAATTTGAACTTTGCAAGCAAATAAATTACATAAGCAATGTCTTACATAAACATTCGATACAAATACATAACAGTACCAATACCATAGATTTTCATCATTATTCTCATGCTGGAGAATGTTCGCCTTTTGTATCTTTAGTAGCAAGTGCCGTTTGACAAGATGTGCATAAAACACAAATCACAAAAGAGAACAATATTTCGTTTCTGGAGGGTTATGTGCTGGGGAGCCTTTATACCAGAAAAAAAAAAAAAAAAGAAATCAATAAAAAGCCCATTCTCTTCTCTTCAATTATTCTCTGCTCGTATGTTTTCTTGTTAACTGCAATTTTGAAAATAATTTCTTCTGTTTTTTTCTTACTTTGCTTTTCATTCTCTCATTCAACGTAGCAAAAAAAAAAAAAAAAAAAAAAAACACATCCTTTACTTCGTTTGAATAGATAAGTCTGTCCTTTGCCTCTTCTCATTCCGTAACAAATACAGTCAAACACCGGCAATGTATATACAAATATATAGTGCATATATATATATGTATATTTAAATAATAATGTTCACTACCATGAAATTACATTTTCATTGTTCATCTCTTTCTTACTCGCCTACATGATACACAAATAACACACAACCATTTGTCTACAATTCTCTTACCAAACCATTTCATTTTCATATCTGTATTGACACCTTAGCAGCCTTCTCCGCAACCACTACTACTATCACTAGTACTACTACTACTACTACTACTACTACTACTATTATTATTATTATCATCATCACTACTACTATTACTGCTACTGTCACTTGGCTGGATTGTCAGTAGCAGCGCCTGAGACACAAACACACACACGCACGCACGCATACAAGTGAAGAGGAAGAAAAAAGTACTTCTCATATTTGCCCCATAATTTAGTTGCAGTTACCAACAGTTCAAGTACTTTTTAATTGGATTGTTCGTTTTGCTGATTGCCGGCCTATTTAACTGACTTTTTACATTTATGCACACAACCATATACGTGAACTGATTTTCTCCCTTGAAAATATATATGTAAACGATGTGTTGATTGCTCTGTTGAATTCCTCCATAAAGCCTTACCACACACACAGCACACACACAGCACACACACACACAAACAAACATACACCTACATACACATTCAATTGCCATAAACTTGGCATTCTGAACTTTTACAATTAAATTACTTTGCTATCCTTGTTGTGGTTGTTATTGCCGTAGTATACATCCCCACGCAAACGCTTACAAATATCTATCTATTTTTATACTCTTAGTTATAAGTCCAACCCCGTTATCCTCCCATCCTTCTTTTCCACCATTTTAGATATTGTATGCATGTGCGTCCTGTATGTGTTCGTTTGAATATATACACAAGTACATTGCTAGGAGTATATGCACTGATGTATTAAAGTCAAGTCTTTTTCCTTTTTTTTTTTTTTTATAGGTTTAATATCAAGGATATTATGCGGTGGCGATATCCTACATGATTTTACGTTTTTTCATCAGAGTTATCAGCGCTAACATCACAGAACTTTAGTTAACGTAGCAAGGTTTTTGCCTTCGATGCTATTTAGATTCAAGGAAGAACGAGAAAAGTTACTGGACCCAAAGGTATTTAAAAAAAAAAAGAAAGTCAGTCTCAATGCATGCTTTTTATAATTTTCAATCAATTTTTTTTTTTCCTGTATTTTTTATTGAAATCTTTCGAATTTTTTTCTCTCTTAATCGATTATAAATCTCAAGTCAGCCAACATCAGAGTAGACTCATAGTATCCTATAATTTCGGTGATTGCGAAAGCGTTGCAGAGAGCATAACTTTCATAGTTTGAAAAAGATTTGTAGCCCATTAGGAGGTTGCGAGTCATTTTTTCAAGTAGTAATGATAGAATCATAAACCAGGTATGAGGGATTTTTGATAGAAAACGATCACTCTCTCAAAAGAGAAAGAAATAGTTTTGAAAAAGATCAACAGTTGCTGTTAGTTATAAAATTAAAGGCTTACTTACCTGAATCTATATACGCTCCACTGTTGGCTTATATCTGAACCAAGGATTGTTCAAATTGTATAAAATAGGGCCTAAATAAAATTTTTGTTTAAAAGCAAGCTTTACTTTCAGGGTTGATATCAAGTAGCCGTTCTCATAGCAATTTTGTCTCTACGAAAGTTCAAAGGTAAAGGGCCAAAGTCACACTATTGGATGAATTAAAGCAATAGAACATAAGACTTATACGCAAGACCAACATGACTAGCGTTATGCGCAATGGATGAAATGATAGCCATTGGCCATTATATCAGAAGGCTACCTACCTTAAGGTTTACAGCAGACAATATGCGGACTTGTGAAGTGTGTACACAGCGTACACTTTTCCCAACTTTAACTCTTAGATTTATTTGGGAAAAAGTTTCTCAAAGAAAAAAACGTCATAGGTGATGGAGCTACGCTACGTTAATTCGAATCAAAGAAAAACCTTAAAAACCCTAAAGCATGCTATATGTATTTCTAACACCCACGATATGATTAGTGAAGCAAGGATCATGCAATTGGTTAGATGAGGTTAACTTGTAGTACATTATGAGCTGCTTCAATCCAGTCAAACCGTCAACCGGGAAGTCGGCTAATGCAATTAAGGCGGAACTATCACAATTTACCAAAAGCTTGGTAGGTTTTGATAATGTATTACGTACGCTACACTACATACCATGGGATATTAATAGTAATAATCTTATAAGTTGATAGACTTTATTGTATTTTTTTTACGCTTTAACGTAAATACCGTTGAGTTTCAAATAAACACATGTCAAGCAGCTGTAAATAGTTTCTTGCCTATATCATGCCTGAGTGTGGGTGAATTACTTTCAAACTACAACTTTTTAGATGATCGTCGAAGTAATGAGTATAGGTGAAGTTAGTGTTTCCGGACGTACAGACGGCCAGCATGGCTGGCGAACATGCTTAAATCGAACAGCAGTAAGAGCATGTACTTGTTCTCCGTATTCCTGATTGTTGCCAGATGTACGGCGAACCTATTAACCTCATAAAAATATAAACTTCCATTTGCATACCTATGGTATAAGTGCTTTTGGTGTGCCTCGTTTATTATTTATTAAATCTCTAATAAATGACCACAAAAAGTTTATTTAGGTTATTCTTAAGTTTTTTCAAGCATTTCTAGTTGTGTGGTCGTTTATAATGAAAAGGAAAAATACTCATACCGCTTGCAAACTTTTGTGGCCAAAATATCTTTCCGAAATCGTTTAAATACGTGCGTGGAAAATTTTTATTTAACGGGCTTAAGCACAGAATATACTGAGAAACTTTACCGTTGTAATTTATCAGTAATAAGTAAGAAATCCAAACTTATTTATTTGAAGTTGAGCTCACATTGTATTGCGGGAGTGTCCTATGACCTATTCGGCCTTTTTTTAACATTGATTTGCTTGCAAGAATTTCCAATATTTTTATCAAATTTCAAATCGATTTCTTCACCTGTATGAGGGGAAGAATGTTCGCCGTAAATGGGCAGACGGACCGTTTGGCAAAAAAAAGCAATAAGAAATAGTGTCGCAGGAAGAGACATGACTGGATCGAGTCATAATTTTGAACTGATCAACGGATGTATTTCTAAAAGCTCCTTTTCTGGTTATTGCAAACGTTTGGTGGATGAAATAAAATCCCTAACGTTTTGGTGATGGGCATTGAAAATTTATGAGGAATTTCTGAAACTTTTCTTCTTTTGACCGATATGGACGCATCGAGTAGTAATGCTCTCGAGCTTTTGTTTCCTCATGGGTTAAGCTTGAAAATTTTTTCCTATAGGAGCTTATTGTTATTCGTTTCATTCTCTACTTTTTCTTCCTTCTTATTTTTGTACATTCCTTTTTTTTTTTGTTTTGGATGAACGTTTTGTTAAAAATTAATTGAAAACAATTTATCAAATTTATAACATCTACTGGTTGAACGAACACCTACAGAGGTTAATTAATTTCTTTTTCTTCTCTATAAAATAAAAAAAAAAAAAAAAAAAAAAAAAAATAAAGCAAAGGGAAAACTATACATTTTCACTTGCTTTTTATTTTAATTTTAACCCAAAACAAAATGGAACAATTTTCGTTGAATGGATAGACGGAGTTAAGACATGAAGAGATATCCCTCATTGCTTTTGTTACGATACCAGTACCAGTGGATGTGTTCATCTGCGTACACACATATATACATAAGTATATATGTGTTATAAAAATGCTGCTGTGATATAATTTTTATTTTATTTGCCCCCCATTATAAGGATAACAAACACATTTACTGTTACAGCAAAATGAAACCTTGCCATATAACATTATATACTAGTTACAGTTGTTGTCTGTCGTCGCTGTCGTCGCTGTCGTCGTCGTCGTCGTCGACGGCATCTTTATTATTGTTGTCGTTTATTCTGTAAGTGAGTGGAAATTTGTTATATTATAATTATTTTCCACAATTGGACATATTGGTATGGTTACCACTGTATGAATAGCTTTTGTATATATATATATATACATGCGCGGAAAAGAACCAAAACGAAAAGTAATTCAACACATAACAGAGCGAAGTGCAACTCTCTAGAGGGGAAAGAGAGATGAAAGCAAAAGCATAACTTTTTGTTTTCCTTTTTTTTTTTTTTATTTCTTTTTCTTTACGATTTGTACGCCATTTTTAAAGTTTTTTTACTATGGTTTCTAACAGCAACAACCACTACTAGTACTACTAGTGCTACTACTACTACTACTACTACTACTACTACTACTACTACTACTATAACCACTACGAAACTACTACTGTTGCAGTCTAGGAAAAAAGAGTATCGTTTTCAAGCATATATATGTTGGAGAGCCCTTGCTATTATCCTTTTCACTCCAAAGGCAAAACGTAAGCCTCAGTTAAAATTGAGAATCGTTAAATGAAAAAAGAGGATACTTTAACACAAAGCGCAAGTACAAGTAACCCCTGAAAAACTCCCCACGCATTTAACACACATAAGCACACATATTCGCAGCATACGAAGAAATTTAATGTGTTGAGCATGCGTTTCATTTCATTCTCATACTTGAGAGGGGTAACCAGTTACTAAATAAATATTGATTTTTGATTTTTAGAAAAAAAAGTTTAAAAAACAAAAACAAAAAAAAAAAGAAGAAGATATTATCATAAAAGAAATTATATGAAGTGAAATTTGCAGCCGCAGAGTAGTACATAATTTATATATGAACACATACACACATACGTATATATATATATATATATATTTACATATATACACATCTATGTATATATAATAAATATGTATAAACCACTATTTGTTGTTCAGCCAGCGGAGTATCATAAATGTTTGACTTTATTTTCAGTAATTTTTGTTTCCGTTCTATTGTGTCCTCTTTCTCGGGCCATGAAGGGTGCATATATGTAAGCAAACGGACGAATCGATTCGTTATATGTACAACGAACTATCAACAATACGGTCTTGTATGGTTCTAATTTCAATTTTTCCGTACGCTTACAAACTTTCACACACACACACACACACACACACACACACATACACACACAGCCACATCAACGTACACTTTGTTACTTCCTTAGCATATATTTTACAAATGACCCAACATTGTTGTCCGTCGTTTATAATTTTGCTTAGTAAACGTTTAGCAGTTAGTTCGGCTGTCGTAACCGTAATTGTCGCAAAAACCAGAAAGACTCTCATTATTTACTAAAAAACGAGAAATTGGGGAAAATTTGTTACGTTTTATATGCTTGTGTTAAGCATGGCGCTTTATATTTATATATATGTATATATATATATATATAGAATATGGCAAAGTTTTATAATTTACCTCGTCCTGCGACTGCCTTCGTTATTTATATGTTTGTGTCCCTGTAAAGCAGTTAATGTTGTTGTAGTGTAAGCATTCCTTTATTATAAGCACATATATATACACACACACCCATGCACACATATAAATATGTATATTTATCTACACGTACATATATATAGGCAAGCTTGTGTAAATGTGTTTCGCTCGGCAATAGGAAATCAGGCAATTAGACTCATATTAACCGTAATTAAATTTAATTGTTTCATTTAACTTAAAAAAAAAAAAAAAAAAAATTATATGATAAGAGGAAAAATGAAATATTCATAGAAAAGAAGATTTAAATCAATTCTGATAGAATGGAAAATGATTTATATTTTAATTCTGAATATATATATACATAAACGAATAAAGGATCTTTCATTGAAGCTGAGACTCGTTAAGAACGACACTTTTTAAAATTTGGCAACACAAAACGAACAACTCGACGTATAAAAGTGAATTGTGTGCTTTATTTCGAAGCTCAGACAGTACAGTTATGTTCTGAACAAAATCCCATTCAAATATCCAGCAAGGTGTTGAACACATTGATGAATTGTTAATCACTCTGTCCAACATTACTTGCGTATCGCCTGCGATAGCCCGTGCCTCTCGAAACTTTACCTAACTTAGTAAATTATCTACAACTCTAGCATTGCCTTGGTCTTTAACGTAGTCCCAAAGAAAAGAAGAAGAATTCTTGGGTACTAACTCACCCGATTCCGGCGGC